TAAGGAGGCTGAAGCAGGAAGGTAGCCAGAGTTAAGCTACCCTGCCTGGTTTTGGGGCTGGCATACTGTGTCTGCACAGCATGTGCTCCGGGGGATCAAACTCAGGTCCTTGCACTTGCCAGGCAGGTGTTTAGACTGCTGAGCTAGCTTCCCAGCTCTGTATGCTTTTTTTTTTTTAAAGGAGGAGACATTTGTTTTCACTCATAGTTTGTAGAGGTTTTTGTCCATAGTCATCTGGTTTTTGTTGTTGCTGTTTTGTGGCTTGTTTATTGGTTTGTTCTTGAGACAGGTGCTTACCAAGTAAGCTCACTGTGTAGTCCAGACTCCCCTTGAACTCACTACATAGCCCAGGCCTTGAACTCACACCAGTCCTCCTCCCTCAGCCCCTCAAGTGCTGGGGGTAGAGGTGTCCATCACCATGCCCAGTTGTCCCTACACTTGATGGCAGAGGTGTTTATACTGAGGCTAGGGACCTTGGATGGGACAGTCCCCCAGCAGGCTTTAGAGAAGTAACCGCAATGCTTGTCCTTCGGTTAGCGCAAGGTGATGCTGGGAATGAGGTGGGCAAGTGGAGCCTGCTTTTCTGCTGCGGTTACTTTCTCAGGCAGCTGGTTTTTAGACAAAATTTCACCTGTTAGCTTTCCAACCTCTGAAGACTGCTGCCAAAGCACCCAATCTGCACCAGGAGATGCAATCAACAAGCGGCATCGCTCCTAACATAGACACCCCCAGGTTCATCCACAGGAGAGGAGATACCTTACACTGTGGCTTAGTGATAAAATGTGAAACAGGATAGTGAGAACATCTAATCTCACATGGTTCCAGCAAATGAGGAGAAAAAGAATGAAGACAACCAGACGTGGTGGCACAGCACTATAGTCCCAGCACTTGGGAGGCTGAAGCAGGAGGAGCACCATGAATGAGTTCAAGGTGAGTGTAGGCTGTATTCTCTGAAGAAGAGGAAGAAGAAGAGGAAGAGGAAGAAGGAGAAGGAGGAGGAGGAGGAGGAGGAGGAGGAGGAGGAGAAGATGAAGAAGAAGAAGAAGAAGAAGAAGAAGAAGAAGAAGAAGAAGAAGAAGAAGAAGAAACGTCAATCTTTGTAGAACCATTGGCTGAGAATTTTGTAGAACTCATAAAATACAACAAATCAAAAACTCACTAGGTTAAGAAATGCTAAACAGTAGATAAATGAACGTCAGTGGATCCTTAAAACAGTGAAATGGGAGAGCACCAGAGAAACAAAGGCAATCATTTCAAAGAAACAAGTTGCTTAGTATTTTGTCCCAGTAACAGAAAAATGACTAAACAGACTACTGAAAGCCTGTTTGAAAAAAAGTCAAATTTTAAAATGCACTCAATAAAAAAAAAAAAAGAAAAAGGTAGACAGCTGGCATCAACTTCTCAAAAGCAGTGGTGGAAGTCAGGAAGATAACAATGATTTCCTAAATATGGAGAAAGGGGCTGGGCATGGTAGTGCACACCTGTGATCTCAGCACTTGAAGGCTGAGGCAGGAAGATTGCTGTGAGTTTGATGACAACCTGGGCTATGTGATGAGTTAAAGGCCACCCCAAGCTGCATAGTAAAATTCTATCTCAGAAAAAAAAAAAAAAAAAAAAAGAGTGCATGCCTGTAATCCCAGCACTTGGGAGGCTCAAAACAGGAGAATCATGAGTCCAATCTACATAGTGAGACCCTGTAGACCCTGTCCTAAATACAGGGGGGGGGGTGATAGATAGATAGATAGATAGATAGATAGATAGATAGATAGATAGAGGAGGGGGAGAGAGAAGTACAAACTGCGAGTTATAACTCTGTACCCAACAAAAGAACACTTTTTTTCCCCCCAGTGCTGGAGGTTGAACCCAGGGCCTTCTCTGAATCACCCCCTTCCCAACCCTGAACTTCCACCCACCCCCTTTTTCAGTCTTTTGAGACGGCTCAATCAATTGCTCAGCATAGATTGGAACATAGGATCCTTCTGTCTCAGCCTCCAAGTGGCTGGGATTCCAGGTGTGCCATCAAATGCCACTGTATCTATTCTTTTTGGAAAAAAACCTGATTTCTATGTACTTTTTTTTTTTAAAAAATGTATTTTTTGTTGCAGTGTCTCATTACGCATCTCAGACTTCTAGTGATCCTCCTGTTTTCAGCCTCCCCAGTGCTGGAATTACAGGCATGTGCCACCATGCCCAAACCCTGTTGCCCACTCTCCTGCACTCTGTGGCCAGCTCAGCCCTGGCATGTAGTGCTGGGGATTGAACCACTGTTCTTGCACTTGCCTAAGCAGGTGCTTTAGCCTGCTGTACTATCTCACCGGCCCCTCTATGTACTCTTATTTATCTGCTCAGATATTTTCTAATTTTAAATGGTATAGCTTAATAATTTCTGATATCTGGTAGAGAAAATTTAATTTATCTTATCTTTCTTCTTCAAAATTGCTTTGACTAATTTTGATTCTTTACTTTTCCGTATGAATTTAAAATTAGTTTGATAATTTCCTGAGGAAATTATTTTTACTGAAATTGCATTAATTTTACACATCAGTTTTGGGACTGTTACATTTAATATATTTTAAATATATTGAGTTTTCTTTTTTTTTTAAATGCTAATAAAATACAGTTTTATTTTCTTTTAAAATGAGTGATAATAAGTTTTCTTACCTATGAACAAAATTTCAGTCTTCTTCTCTTTAACTCTTTTATGTCTTCTGTAAAGTTTTATCATTTTCTCCTTAAAAATGTATCATCTTAGATTTATACATGTATATTGTTGGTTTGTTGTCATTATGAATGAGATTTTTTTATTAACTGATTATTGCTGTTATACATGAAAAGCAGTGATTACTGTATGTCTTGAGTCCAGAAATCTTGTTTAAATTCTTTATTTTAAAATAGTTCATATGAGTATAATAGTACACACCTATAATCCCAGCATTTTGGGAGGCTGAGGCAGGAGGATTTCAAGCTGGAGCAGCCCTGGGCATTTTAGGGACTAAGAGAGCCACTGCTTCAAAATAACCAAAGGGTTGGAGATGTAGCTTAGCTGAAGGACCTGGTTTAAATCTCTACTATCACTGCAACTACAAAAAAAAAAAAGTTATTTTATATATTTTCTAGGGTTGATACTATGATCTGAGATTAGCAATCATTGTATTTTTCCCTTCCCAGGCTTTATTCCTCTATTTTGTACATTTCTTCTTGCTTTAGCTTGATCCTGACATACAGTTTAATAGCAGTCATAATAAGAGGCAATTTTCCTCCCAATTTTAGAAACTTTTCCTAAGAAAAGGTGTCCATATGTAGTTCAGGCTGGACTTCAACACTGTTATGCAGCTCAAGGTAACCTTGAACTCAAAGTGATCTTTTTGCCTCAACTCCTGAGTATGAGGATTATAAGCATGCACCAATTTTAAAGGCAATAATTTTAAACTTGAAGCACTCAATATATGTAACATTTCCTGTAGGTTTTTAAATTTTTTCTTTATAAGATAAGCTTTATTTGATTAAGCTTGTCCACTTTGATTAATTATGGTCCTAATTAACTAGAGGACAAAGTTTGCATTCTTTCATAAAAATGTAATAGGGTCAGTTGTGATGGGGCACATCTGTAATCCCAGAAGTCAGGAGGCTGAGGCAGGAACATCAACCACAGTGAATATGAGAATAGCCTGGGCCACGTAGAGAGACTCTGTCTCAAAATTAAAATAAAATAAGTAAAATAAAATAAAGACATTTAGTCTGATTTTTGTTTGTTTGTTTTGTCTTTTAAGTCAGGGTCTTGCTTTATAACCCAGGCTGATCTCAATCTCACAATTCTTGTGCTTCAGCCTGCCAAGTGCTGGGATTATAGACATGAGCTACCACACACAAGATTTACTCTCTTCTTTTTTGTTTTTGTTTTTTCTCTGTTTGTCTTTTGAGACAGAGTCATGCTATGCAGTTCAGGCTGACCTTGAGCTCATTTTGCCACCCAGGCTGGTCTTGAACTTGTAATAATCCTCCTTTCTCAGTCTCCCCAGTGCTAGGATTCAGATGTGTGTGCTGCGCCTGGCTCTGTTCTAACATTAGAAGTGACTCTGGAGGTAATTTTAAATCAGTTTCAGAGGTATCAGTCCATGGCCAGCAACTGCATTGTTCTAGGCACTGGCAAGGCAGAGAGGGTCGTGGTGGAAGGGCAAGGGGAAGGAGGAAGGCTGCTGGCCACCAAGAAGCAGAGCCCTGGGAAGAGCCAGAGAGGAAGGGGCCAGGGACAAAATATGGTCCCCAGGTCACACCCTCCTAATCTGGCCCTGCATCTAGGCTCCTGCTAAATTCCCATCCTTTTCCAATAATGCCATCAAATTATGTTCTGCAGATGGATTAATCTACCCATGACACCAGAGCCATCATGATCCAATCACCATCAGAAAGGCAACCTTGGAACAGACAAAATGTCTGGGGACATTTTAGATGTAAACCGTAACAGTCTTGATTTATGTATGTATGTATGTATGTATGTATGTATGTATGTATCTTTTGTATTTTAGGGAAGGGTCTACAGGGTGTTCAGGGTCTCAATACTAGATTAGACTCATAGTGATCTGCCTGTTTACAGCCTCCCAAGAGCTGGGATTGCAGGCGGGTGCCACCATGCCCAGTCTCAATTGCCATCTCAGCGTGCCCCGGAGACGGGGCCAGCATGGGAGACCTGGGGATCGAACCCCCTGCCCCTGCACCTGCTTGCAGACACTTTAATCTGCCTCGCTATTTGGCTGGCCTTTTTTGTCCTTTAGTGACACTGAAAGGTGCTTGTCGGGAGTTGAATTCCCCGCCTGCCCTGAGGCCGCTGCCTCACCACAGCCCTTGCTGTAAGTCCTCTGGAGGAGACCAGCCCTGACGTCCGTGTCCTGCTTTCCAAGTCCTGCCTTTCAGTTCCACTTTCCTGGATGGAAAGCAATAATGTGACTCAGAACCCACAGGAACAATCATAAGTGGCTTCTTCTTTTTTTTTTTTTTTTCCACATCAGGTCAGCAATGTGTGATGTCGTAACCAGGCTTGAGGGAGGCACATCTCATGCATATGCCAGGAACATGCAAGCATCACACTTGTGAACCAAAGGATCAGCTGAGTGTGTTCTTGCTACCCAACAAAATCTTCTTTTAAAAAACTCGTCCATGAATGAAACAGTTTATCCTTTGGTAATGCTCTATGGATGGCAGACCTATTCCAAAGAACACTTCCTGAGAACTTTCTGTCTTTTGAGTCATCTGACAGCAGAGACCTCCCCTTGAAGGACTAGGCACTCAGGAGGAGAGCCAATGACATACACCTATAGTTCCAGCATTTGAGGAGGCTGAGGCAGGAGAAGCACAAGGTCAAGCTCAGCTTAGTGGCTCAGTGAGACCTTGTTTCAAAATTAATATATGGCTGGGGATATAGCTCATTGGAAAGGCTTTGGGTGGCTCAATGTCCTATACCACAGCCAGTCACAGCATGAGAACCAACGGCTGCTTCTCCTGTCCTTCCACAACCCCCTCCCGTGGGTAGAGGAGGCTCTGCAGGAGGTAAGAATCTACCTGTGTTAGGGGCTGGGGAGATAGCTCAGTAGCATAAGTGCCTGCCTGGAAAGTATAAGGGCTTGAGTTCAATCCCTGGTTCCGGAACCAAAACAAAACAAAAAAAAACCCTGTGTTCTGCTCCTCCACCACCTGCATTAAGAGGGTAGAGAGCTGGTCTGCTCATCCTGGTTTGCCTTCCTCACCTTCTTCTCCCACCAGCCATTCTCACTGTGGTCCAGTAGTAAATTCTGGGGAGTGTTTGTGGGAATAAAACAAACAGTCCAATTTAGAACAATGGTCTTCTGCCTCGGGAAAAAAAAAAAAAGTCAAAAGAAAAAAACTCTTAAGTCTTGGCCACAACTCAAATCCAGTAAAACTCCAACGATGGCAAAGCATGAATGCATGGTTTGTTGTTTATTTGTTTTTGCAGCACTTGGGATCGAACCCAGAACCTCACACATGCTAAGTAAGTGCTCTACCACCAGCCACATCCTTGCATTACTTCAGTTGATGGACTTAATCAATGGAAGGATCTTCTGTGTAGACAAAATATCACTTTAGGGTTGGTCTTTAGTTATTTTTTCCTTTTACTTGTATCATTATAGGGGGAAGCAGACAATGGCATGTGAGGGGTAGAATCAAATGGCTGGAATGAGGCAGGGGATTTCTGAAATATTTCCCAGGTGATCACTGAATGCAACCAAGATCCAGAAGCACTTACCTAGAGGCTATCTGATGTACATAAGGGGGTTAAATGATTAATTTAATAAGCTATTGTTCTAGAAAAAAATGTGTAATTGTATATTTGTAAAAACTACAACAGTCACCAGAGTATGATCTTTTTTCTTTTCCTTTCCTTTCCTTTCCTTTCCTGTCTTTTTCTTTTCCTTTCTTTCTTAGGTATTTTATTATATAGTCCAAGCTGACCTCAAATTTGTATAGATCCTCCTGCCTCAGCCTCTAGAGTGCTGGGATTACAGGTATGGGCCACCATGTCTGGATTTTTTTTTTTTTTTTCTGAGACAGGGTCTTGCTATGCAGTTCAGGCTAGCCTTGAACTCACGATGTAGCCCAGTCTGGCCTCAAACTAATTCATGGTGATGCTTATGCCTTATCCTCCAAAGGGCTAGGATTACTGGCTACACCACTATGCTCGGTTCAATTTTTTTTTTTTTTTGTAATCTAGTGGGAGACAGAAATATGTACCAAATAATAGCAGGAAGTCAGCAGATTATATGTATGTGTGGGGGGAGTATAGAGTCAGAGAAAATGCTGAATACAAAATTTGATAACAGCAGCTGAAAGGAAGCCCAGGGTGGCGGAAGGAAGTGGCCATCAGAGGCGGGTGGAGGGTCACAGGACCCTGCAGTGGCCGCTGTGACTTGGAAAGCTGTTCTATGTCGTCTACGGAAGGCGGTCACTATTTGCTTGGTCACTGGGAAGACCATCATTAGTGATACCTACCTGCCTGGATGGTGGGTGTCCTGGAGGTGGGACAGGAAAGTATATGAAGTATGGGGAGAACACTAAACACCAACAGGTCAAACTTGAAATTCATCTACACTGCTAAATATATTTAGTTTGCTATCAGACTTAAACTACCTTTAGAACACTTATTGGAAAAGTAATTCTACTCAGACACTTGAGGCTATTCTGCAGAGCAGATATTCTAGGTATTGGAATGTAAGGGAACATAAGTGTCTCAGTTATTTTTCTTATTGCTGGTACAAAATATAGAAGACCCAAAGTTAAAGGGAGAAAAGCTTTATTTAGCTCACGATTTGTAGGGGTTTCAGTTCATAACAGACTGGCTCCAAGGCACGGAAGCATATGGCAGAGGGGCAGCAGTTCATGGCAGCAAAAGCAATGAGAGCAAAGGCAGGAAACGAGTCTCTTTGTGCCTCTTTTATCTTGTCCAGAGTGCTGGGATTCGGGTGGTGCCAAATGAATCAGTGACCTGATCCAGCAATCACTCATCCTGAATCCCAGCACTGTACTAGGAATCAGTCACAGACTCTAAATTGAGCTGCCTCTGAAAAAGGCCCATCTAAAACTGCATGGGGGGGGGGCTGGAGAGATGGCTCAGTGGTCTAAAGCACCTACTTGGAACAAGCTTGGCAAAGTACAGGGACCACGATTCGATCCCCCAGCACCACATGCCAGCCAGCTGCGCCCCCTGGTGGGCTGAGCTGGCCACACACACACACACACACACACACAATAAATAAATGTTAAAAAAAATAAAACTGCATGAAGTGGTGGGCAGGGGGCAACTCATCTAGACCTAAGCTACAGTAAGTATGAGTTATTATAATACTAGCATATAAGTTAAAATAAGGGCCATCTCTATAGCAAGAGGAACTAAAGGGGAGGCTGAGACTTTCCCGGGACCCCAACCCAGTCTGGGCTCTCAGTTAACCACCTCTCAGGACATAGCTTGGCCTGTGTTGCGGGTGCAAGAACCTCCCTTTGGGAGTCAGGAGTGCTGGCCCATGCCTGTGAGCCCAGCACTTGGGAAGCTGAGGTACCAGGATGTCTGGGAATTCAAAACTAGCTTGGTCTACATAGTGAATTCAAGGCCAGCCTGGACTACATAGTGAGACCCTGTCTCAAAAAAACCCAACAGGGGCTGGGGAGATGGCTCAGTGGAATAAATGCTTCCCCGGCAAGTGCAAGGCCTGAGTTCGATCCCCGGTTCCGAAGGAAAAAACAAAAACAAAAACAAAACCCGACAGAAATTCGGCCTTGGGAGGAACTCTACAGATCTCTCCAGTCTTTTTCTGCCTCTACTGTTTGCCCTGGAAAGTAAGGGCACTTGCGGTTGTCTGACTCCTCCCCCTTGCTCCATCTAGCAGATGCTCAGGCACCCTGTGCCACCTGACCTCGCCTGCAGCATGGCCTTGCTTCCCTTTTGAAGTGCTTCGGAGGTGAGCTCCCCAGAGGTCAGCTGTTCTGCCTGAAGGCTAGGAATGGTCAAAGAGTGTCTGCACGCACTCACACCCCATACTGGGCCTTACGGCCTCCTGAGGAGTGAGCCTGAGAAGGTGGTGAGCAGCAGTCAGCGCCAGGACAAAAGAACCAGAGGCCATGAGTGGCTAGGGAGAGCAGTGTGCAGGCAAGATGGGTGAGGGAGAGCAGGAGCTGGCCAGCGGGAAGGACGGTGAGCGAGTGACTGGGTGGCCGAGAGCGTGCCAGCGGGAGTGGGAGAGTGGGCGAGTGGGCGAGCGGCTGGCTGGAATCCTAAGCGCTGCAATACGCCGGGCGCAGGTTCTGGTTTGGGAGAGCCAGCTGCCCAGAGCCACGTGGCCAGGACACGGCCCGAGAAGGGGTAGTAGGCGAGGCTAAGCAGAATGTAGGCGTGACGAGGCTGGGTCTGCGCTAGCTGTGGGCGGAGTGAGTTGGGGAGGGGCGTGGCCACACTCTTCCGGGCGCGAAGAAGCGCTGAATAGGCAGGGTGTGGGCGTGACGACCGACTGATGGGCGTGACCTAAGCAGTTGTGGGTGTGGCCGTCCGGCCCGAGCGGGAGGAAGTCACGTGCACGCGCGGGCTCACATGACTGGCCGCGCGATGGACTCGCTGCCAGCTTCGGCAGTTGGGTCTGCAGCTGAGGCGGAGGCTGACGAGGAGGAGGCGGATCCCCTGGCGACAGGTAAGGCAGTGAAGGGCGCCGGCCCCGTCCTCCGCGCGCTCTCCATTTCGATCACTTTTCTCGCGCCGAGGCCACCTGTGCAGGTCCACCTGACCCGCTAGAGCCGGTGCCGGCCCCTGCCTGGTCTCGCGGGCTCTGTCGCTTGGGTCCCCGGCTCCGGGGATGGCGACGCTCGTGGTCCGCTGCGCTCAGGTCGCTGCGCGGCCGGGGCGGGGCTCGCGGGAACCCACATGTACTCACTAGCCTCCTCCCTGGTCTCAGGAGAACGCCGCTCGGGGGCTGCGCTCTCAGGCCTTCCCCGCGGTGACGAAGGAGGTGGCCGCCTGAGGAGCTAGATTGAGCTGGAGGTGAGGCCAGGTGAATTTTGGAGTTTTGGGAGACGGGTTCTTCCCTGGGAGGAAAGGCAGGAGTGTGGGAGTGAGACTGGGGAGGGAGGGCTTCAGTCCCTGCAGTGGAGTCCCGCAGACTGGTCCTCCAGAATGGGTCTTTATTTTTTCCTGTCACTTGTATCTGTGCAAGGGGAAGCATGTGACAGCCTTTGCTGGGTAGAACATTGTGTTCAAGAGGTCACGTGCTGGGGCTCTGCATGGGCCCACCTATGCCAAAGCCCCAGGCTGGACTCCTTCCCCAAGTCACTTGGGAGTGGACGGTGTGACTGTAGTGTCAGAGTGCTGATTTGCCTAGTTTGTCAAGCAGTTCAGAATGGACCGAAGTGGCTGTGTAGTTCAGGGATATCTTTCCAAACAGGTATAGGGACTGCCCTGCAGGACTCACCTAGTGGCTGCCATTAGGGTGTGATTTATGGACAGTCCTGTACAACTCCCTACATACATTCCTGGGCTGCCCTCCCTGTGGCTTTGTGTGGAATTCCCACAGGTTGTTGGCTTTCTTTGGAGACAGTGGTGATTTTTATCAAGAGTGCTAATTTTATCCACAGCTCGGAGGCACACCACAACCTCAGGCTTCCAAAGTCTCAAAGCATTTCTATAACCCTGTAAGTCTAAAAGTGGGGTTTCTAAAAATGTCATTCATTCTTGTGGAATCTGGATGCACATCCTAGCAGGGAGGTGAATGGGAAAGCAAACCTTTTTATCTTGGGAAAACAAATTTATCTGGAGATGTGTGACTAATCCAAAGTGGGCAGCATAGGGGACCTTGGTTGGGTGGAGTTGGGTCAGAAAACCTGAGACTTCAGTAATGAATTTGGCTCAGAGAAAAATGCATGGCGTTTTCTCAAATTTTTTGTGTTCTCCAAAGAATATTGGTTTTAGGATGCAAAATGGATTTCTTCCTCTTATTTGTCTTCTGGCTGCACACCCAGATCTGTTGTACTGTGGTATCTCAGCCTTTGCAGTGCCTTTGGGCTTACCAGAAAGAATTGTCCTTCCTGTTGCACTTTTCATCATTCAGTCTTATTATATTCTCATTATTTGAAGCTTAAGCTTCGAATGCTCAAGTAATCCTCTTCCTAAGATGTTTCATCTGAGTATGGTACAAGCCTGGGATCCCAGTACTCTGGGAGGCTGAGGTGAGGGAATCAACAGTTCAAGCACAGCCTGGACAAGTTAGTGACTTAAAGAGACCTTGTCTCAAAAAGTAAAACAAGGGCTGTAGATGTAGCCCAATGTGGAGGCTCTAAATTCAATTTCTAGTACTATAGAAAAGAACAAAAATAGACACAAATCACCTTAACTTTCAGTTATGCTATAATTTTTTTGTTTGTTTTTTGAGACAGGTTCTTGCTATGTAGTTCAAGCTGGACTTGAGGTCACTTTGTAGCCCAGGCTGGTCTCAAACTTGCAAGGATTTTTCTGCCTCAGTCTGCTGAGTTCTGGGAATTCAGGCATGTGCCACCATACCCAGCTGTGGATCATTTTTAAAAATCCCGTCAGCCTTAGAAAAATTAGGATGATTTTTTAAAATTATTATTTGCATTTTCTTGATTAGGATTGAGGTTTGGTATTTTTCTGATAATATTTCCATGTGGTATGGCCTCTGTGATTTGACCATTTATGTCCTTTATCCATTTTCTTTCTTTCTTTCTTTCTTTCTTTCTTTCTTTCTTTCTTTCTTTTTTTTTTTTTTAAGGAAGGAAAGGTTTATTTAGCTCACAGTTACTGGAGGTTTCAGTCCATATTCATCTGGGTCCAAGGCAGAGCAGCATAAGCAGAAAGGAACCTTTCATGGCAGTGGCAGAGAGCAAGAAGAGCACCAAATGGACTGTCCATTTTCTTACACAGCTGTCTTTTTCTTCTTGATTTGTAGCAGTTCTTTGGTATTTTATAATTTTATATTGAAATTGTAGTTATATCTGAGTGAAGCCTATAATCTTATCCACTCTGGAGGTTGGCGTAGGAAGATCACAAATTCAAGGCTGGCTCAGGCAATTTAGACTATGGCTGGAAATAGAAACTACAAAGGGCTGGGGGTAGACCCCAGTGGGAGATTGCTTGCCTACAGTGCATAGGCGCTATGGTTCCATTACCAGCACTGAAAAAACTCTGTCATCCATATGTATGTGTATTCTATATCTATAGCTACAGAATGATCAGAGCATTCTATTCTCTGACAGGGCAGGTTGGATTTCACTTCAGAGCCCTTCAGAGGTCAGCGACCATGATTTAGAGGGGGAATGGCAAGAAAGAGTATGATGCGTGCACTTGCTCAACTAACCTGACCCTTCCAGGGTGCACAGTACAGAAGTAAGAATATACACATGTCAGCACTGTGTGTTTGCCTTGCTTCCTACACCCAGTGGCTGTCAGCTGAGTCAGGAGAGCTGGGGACTCAGGCCTCACTGTGGTCGTGGGCGCCTTTGCTGGCATTCCAATCATTCCATTCTGTTGGGATGCTCTGCCTCAGGTCTGAGGGCCTTGGCTGTCATGGAGCTCCTCCTGCCTTCTCTTCCTGCTGTAGTTTGTTGCCTTTGCTGCCATTTCCCTTCTCTGGGTTGTGCACTTGTCACAATTCGTTGAGCTGTCACTTAAGATTTATGCAGTTTATGGTGCTCAGGCTATACCTCAAACCATTATTCTCATTAAGGAAACCGCCTGGTGTGCCCCCTCCCTCCACTTTACATTTGCTTGTAAAGGTCTGTCAGGCAGAAATTAGTTTTTCTATATACCCCAAAATCTAAAGTAATAGCTGCTATGAAGAAAGAGCTTATATATTTGAAGACAATGTCATTTTATTATTATTATTTTTTAAAGCTGCATTACAGCTGGGTCCAGTGATATGTGCCTATAATCCCAGCACTCAGGGAGGCTGAAGCAGAAGAATCAAAGGAGTCCAACTTGTCTGCACAGTTTAGCTATTTGGTGGTCTTCTGTCTCAAAATAATATAAAATGGACTGGAATTAAAGCTTAATGCAAAGAAAGACACAGAGTTCAACCCCCAGAACCCTCCAAGTGCAGAAAGTATCACATTTTATTGTAGTAGTATTTATTTATTTATATTTAAAGAAGGAAAGATTTATTTAACTCACAGTCTGTGGAAATTTCAGTCTGTAATCGGCTGGTTCCAAGGCAGAGTGACACATGGCGGAGGGGCAACTATTCATGGCAGCAGAAGACAGCAAAAGCAACAAGTGAGGATACTCAGTAGTTTATTTTTAAAGTTTGAGTTAGTGATCTTTACACTTTCTCTTCCTCTCTCTGTCTCTCAACACACACATACACACATGCGCGCGCGCACACACACACACACACACACACAGGCACAATTTGCAAGGTAAAATGTGTTAATTCAAAGAAAGAGGAACCAACTGAATCACTATTATACAGAACAGATTTTGCCAGAACTTGTGGTTAGCAAGAAAGTGATGTGCTCTGAGTGGGGGAATTCTGTTTTGGCATTATTTTTTCTTTCCTGAGAAAAATGCCCCACAAAAAGTGATGTTTTGCCATCATGTCTGCCAAGGTGGCAGAGGGACTAGAAGGGAACCAGACATTGTAGTGAGCAGACGTTGGAGCTTCCCAGGACCTGCTGTGCTGCTGGGAGGAGCCCAGGGTGCTTCTTACAGTCTTCTGCCGTAGGGGGCTCAGATCCTAGCCCACTGAAGTCAGTCATGCTTAGCATGTTCTCTCTCTTTTTTTTTTGCGGAACCGGGGATTGAACTCAGATCCTTGCGTTTGCCAGTTAAGCGCTTATCCTACTGAGCCATCTCCCTGGCCCCTTAGCATGTTCTCTTCCTGCCTTTCAGACTGAGTCTTGCTATACAGTTCAGGCTGGCCTTATACTCTCTAGGTAGCACAGGTTGGCCCCCTCCCAGCAATCTGACCTGTGCCTCCTGGCCTCCTTAGTGCTGGGATTTCAGAGTGTGGCATCACACCTGACCTTAATGTTTTCTTTGTTTTGGTTATTTGTTTATTTATTTTTAACATATTTGGTACAGGGTCTCACTACGCAGCTCAGACTCAGTGATCTTCCTGTTTTCAAGCCTCCCCGGCACTGGGATCACAGGCATGCACCACCACATCTGGTCTTGGTGGCCAGCTCAGTGGCCCCAGGGTGTGGGACTGGTGTGGCATGTAGTGCCAGGGATCAAACCCTGGTCTCTGCCCTTGCCTAAGCAGGTGCTTAGTCACCTGAGCTATCTTGCAAGCCCTGTTTTGTTTTTTTGAGACAGTTTTTCACTATGTACTTTGCTGGCTTTGAAAAATGGTGTAGCCCAGAGTAGCCTTAAATAGGCAATCCTCCTGTCTCAGCCTTCCCAATATTGGGATTACAGGTGTGTAGTATCACACTTGGCAAAGATACGTGTTTTGTGAAATGTGTTTTGTGGCAAATAGCAGTATTAAAGTACCATGTAAGAAGCTGAGAGTGGAGACACATGCCTATAATCCCAACATTCTTGAGAGGCAGAAGCAGGAGGATTGAAAGTTTGAGCCCAGCCTAAATGAGTTAGTGAGACCCTATCTCAAAATAAAATGTTGAAAATGAGCTGAGAGTTTTGCTCAGTGTGAGGGAAAAAGGAACAAGAAAGCTGTTTTTCTTAACT